CTCTGGAGGCAGCTGCTGAGGTGGCTCAGGCTCTGGTAGAGAAGGCAGGGAAGAAGGACACCATCTATGCCTGCGGCCCCTGCCCCAGGAGACTGAGTGTGGCTCTAGACCCGTCCGAAGGTTAGGCTGTGGATGAAGAACCAAAAGGGGAGACACCATCTGAGCCTTTAGTTCCCAGTGTATCTCCTGGGCTTCTGCAGGACTCAGATAGGTCTCACCTGACCAAGACCGGTTGAGCCGGCTGGAGTGACGACTGTAGTGGAGGAACAGACTGAAACGGACCCTTCCCCTTTCTCCTTCTGTTGCCGAGATCTCCGGGACAGATGGCAAGACGGGTTCCCAAAAAGGGTGAGGGTTCAAGGTCAGGATCAGGGTCCAGGGTGAAAGAGATAACACCCACAAGTAGGGCAGAGCTGTTGGTGCTGGTGGAAGGGAGATACACCCTCCGAGCATTAAACTAAGCCACCGGTGGCTTGAACCTGCTCTGGGCTCAGAGCAGCTGACGAGGCAGCACTGGGACATGTCCTTTCCAGCTGGTCCAGGTCTGACAGGCATGCCTCCATGCAAGCTTCCTGCTCAGCTCAAAGAGTACAAATTTGTGAAAGAAAATCAGCCATAGCACGGAACTGCGCCAGCCAGGTTTGGCTACATACAAGTCTCTCCATCTTGTCACAAATAGCCAGGCCCTCCACAGGGCCACTGACAGTTTCCAGACTCCTGCACAGGTTCTGCAGAACCCGTGAGAGGACCTCTAAGTCTTTTACAGGATTAGCCTGTGTTAAACTGGACTGGTTCATGTTTTGAGGAGCTGAGGGCAGGAAAAAGAAAAGGGAAAAAAGAGAAGAAAAAAAAAATTTAACTGCCACCTGCTGGGTCCACTGTTGGCCAGTTTGTTCTGTTAGGATCTCTCTCAAGCCAGGGGACGAGAGAGAGGTAAGAAGGACCCAGACTGCAGTGTGACAGTTTAGATAAATGAGAAGGTTTTATTAACAAACTAAAACAGGGGAGAACTGATGGTGGTAATGGTTCAGTCAGAAAGGACAATCCGGTTTACAGGGCAGTATGTGGAGACAGTTTGACCCCGTGAAGTGGTGCAAGGAAGAGGAGTTACTAGAGAAGGATGGTGATGGCTGAGTCGAGCGGTGAGTGAGATGGTGGCGGTACAGTAGGAAGGCTGGCCCAGACAGGATGGTACCGACAAGGAGAGTTGCTGGTGTGTGACGGCTGAGTCAGATGATGAACTGTGGTGAGTGCAGATCGGCTGGCCCAGACGTGATGGTGCTGGAGAGACGAGCTGCTGGAGATCTACTGCTGAGTCGAGTGATGAGCTGAGGTGAGTGCAGATCGGCTGGCCCAGACGTAATGGTGTCAGCGAGGGAAGCAGCTGTTGCAAGTTTGTAGGAGCCAAAACTTTGTGGTCTAGGTACAACAACGAACCGGCGGTGAATGAGTGGAAGCCTGGAGGATATATAGGCCAGGTGTTGATTAGGCAGATCTGCCACAGCTACGGAGCATTCCAGGAATACCGGTGTGTGTGGGGAGAGAGGGAGAGAAAGACCGAAACAGGGAGAGACACAGGGAGCGGAGCGTAACCCTGACACATGTAGATACATGAAAATGTGTGTATGTTAAATAGAAACAGACACTGGTTAAATTTGAGCTACATGACAAGAGCTGGAAATGCTGATTTGGAATGAGTGAGTGTACTTGTTGTTTTCTGTAGGCATCTATAAAAGAATCTGCAGCTGACCCACCTCCTCCATAGTGAGCTGTTTGAAGACAGGGTAATACTTATGGAGCCGAAGCCTGCGGAGCCAGTCCAGGATGCCATTTGGCTCTGGAGTGTTGGGCTGGGACTGAGATGGTGGCTGGGAGTGGGGCTGGGAACGAGACTGGGAATGGGACAGGGAGTATGAAAGGGACTGGGAATGTGACTGGGATGATGGCTGGGAATGGGACAGGTTCAAAGACTGAGTCTGTGTCCTGAACTGGCTGCTGGTTTGTGGATGAAGGTGGTGCTGGGGGTGAGAGTACAAGTGCGACTGACTGTGTTGGGGAAGAAGCTGAGAGGAGGTATCACCTCCGCCTGCCATGGAGCCCTGGCTGGGTAGAGCTGGTGCCGGGGGAGGTAGGGAGGACATCTTTGGCGAGTGCTGAGGAGGAGGAATGGAGGGAGGAAGAGAGGAGAGGTGAGGAGAGGAGTGAGTCACGACAGAGCTGTGGGTGCTGACGACGGGCTGGACGCTGGCTACTCTGTACACTGCCCTGAAAAAAAGAGAGGCAGTCAGTACATTATGAAGACTAATGATAGAATGATGACACAGAGGATAAATAACATTACCTGTTGGCTCCTCTGTACTGAACCATACAGCCAAGATCTGTGAGCAAAAACAAAGGACCTTCATCATTTTCAGAATAACTGAATGACTGAGTGAAACCCAGATCTTCTTAAAGCTAAAATTCAAGGTGTATTACCAACAGCAAAAAATGAAAGGAAAAATCTAAATAGTATAGATATGCTTCAGTAGGCTCAGTGAATGGTTTATGAGAATGAAAATTATTATACACTATAATATAGCATTCACAGTCACCAGCTCTCAGCCCACTTGAATACCAGCAACATGTTAGACTGCAGTGTACAGACCATCAGTTAATTACCACAGTGTCTTTGTTTTGAAAAATGAATCTGTGAAAAGAGGCACTAAAGGTGTTCAGGCAGTGGAACATCTCCATATTGGTGCTCCTGACTCAGCTACAATACCTACCTACCAATACCTATCATGGAGCATGTTCCATTATCTTACATATGTTTCTGAGGAGGGTGAAGATAGAGAAGCTTGGAGCAAATAATCACAGTTGTATCAGGATACAACTGTGATTATTTTACCAGATGGCAACACCCCTTCAGTTGGAACCAGTTTAGTGATTGGTCAGCTGATCTGATGGGACAGTAAAAGAAGTGGCCAGGCTGCTGTGGAAACTGCAAGTTTTGTAAGTTCAATCAGTCGCATTTGGTGCCACCCTCACTACAACAGATCTGGTATTATTGATGTAGGATTTGGGTCTTTGCTTAAACTACTCGAAGGAGCAAAGTTGTGTGGAAGACCCAGGTGAGGAAAGAGCTGAATCTTGTAAACCAAAGAGAAAGCACCCTATGGTACAAAAAACAGCAAGGGCCTCAAAAAAGTTAAGTGAAAAGTTCCATCCATAAGCTCCACTGGGAGATGTGTGAATTTATATTTGGTTAAATATTTTTAGTGTCTGATGTGAAGGTAAGTCTACATGTTGGCCGCCCTCTCACTAACTGATGTTTTGTTGAGTTGGGCCCACGAAACTGAGAAGGCTCAACAGTGTGTTCCAGCTTTACAGAACCACCACCCTCTTTGCCTGCACCCACACGCCCAATACAATTCTCCATCAGTATATGCCTGCTGCTCTGTCAACTCATTCAAACAACAATCACTAACTTACTGCTAACTGCTAACTGTCTATTACTTACTTGCCATCAAACATTTGAAGTAACACAGTCAAACTTCTACTATTTGCAATTAACCAGAAACATTACATTCATCCACTGCCTTCATTTGTGTGTTTAACTATAAGCATGCAGTTCAGCTAATGAGGAATAGACTGTGAGTGGTGGAGGGCAGAGGTCACTGTGTTTGTGGCTGCATGTTACAGCAGAGGTAGACACATTCATCTTAGCCCCGATTAACCCTGATTCTCCTGTGAGCCTGGTGCGCGCGCGCACACACACACACACACACACACACACACAAAGTGTGTACTTTTAGAAGTATAAACAAATACATAAAATACAAGGACACACAGAAGCATGCACACGCACACACTGATGACTATAAATACTCTGTGATGAAGTCACACACTTAGAATCGTGCACACAAACACACACACAAGCATGAGGTCACCACACTCTAGGCTTCCCAACACAAACATGCCACACTGAATTCCCACACCAGACTAAAATAAACCTAGTCCGCTCACTCTATCACAAAACACAAAGTGAAAATCTCTGCCTGCAGTCTCACCTCTCTTTTGTCTTCCCAATCAACAGCCAAGACCCACACTCACATACTTGTTCTTTCCATTACATTATTATTCTCTCCCTTCTCTGTCTTATTTCAAGTGCCAGAACTCAAATATGAATCCCCCAGTTTGCCTTGTATCATGTCGCTCTTGCCCTGTCCCTTCTTGGCACCAACTTTCCCTTCATCTAAGAATAGGGATCTTCTGTTTTATATCCCTGCGGCCCTCTATAAAAACATATTGGTTTTATAGACTCTACTGCCTCACACTCATGAAATACGCACTTCAAACATACAGTACCACATGATTTGTGCTACCTGTCATCACCTATAGCTCTGCAGATCTTTTTAAAAAAAGAAAGAAAATAAAGACTTACTAGAACTGGAGGTAAACAGGCAGGTTGGGACCACAGGGCCTGTGGGAGGGGAGGAGGGTAAGGGAGGGAGGGAGGAAGGGCAGTTGGGTGAGAGAGGCCTGGTGGATGTGAAGAACAGCTGGACACTGTGGTGCTGGAGGATGTGGCAGGGCAGCGCTGCCAGACACCTGGGTGCAGGCAGAGAGACAGGATGGCAGGGAGTCACCAGGAAATTTAAAAACTACAGGAACAGATGCTTTGATCTTGGAGGATAAGACCTCACATTACATCTAGCTGAATCAAGGAGGTGCACTGAAGAATTTGTTTTGTGCATACAAACAAGAAAATTAGCTACCTTAAAAATATTGTTGTTTGCAGGATGTTTGGTATTTTGCAAAGCCGCTGTGCTAGCAGGTATAATGTTCTCTATGTTCTTGATAGCATGCTAACATGAGCTAGTTTGCACTAAACTCAAAGCAGAGCTGAGGCTGATGGGAATGTCATGAGTTTTTCATGGCCATATATCCAATAGTTGACAAGGAATTTCACTCAAACTCACAAATGCCAACCTCATTTTCATACTACAGGCAATACCAGGTGATCACCAGTGTTGGTATGTCTGTGATATTATTTGGGGAACACATTTCATGACACTTCATCCAAGTAGCTATTTCAGTGTAGACCAAAGTGGTGGATTGCATAGATCCATACTGCTAGCATGGTTCACAAGTGTTCTGGGGGATTAAAGATGCCCTGTGGAGTTTTAGAACTATGGAGCAGTGTTTTTATGAGCAAGGTCAGTGATGGAAGGAGGTGAGCCAATGGACTCGGACCCTTCTGTGGTGACCATGCCAAGGAACTCCCATGGGCCATCTGCCAAGAGATCATCACCACGGTTTGCCCAGCTGCTGTCATTGTCAGAGTCTCGCTCCCTGGCGACCACGTACACATTAGCACGGTGTTGCTTCTCAGCCACAAGCAAGCAAGCAAGCACAGAAGGGGCAAGCGGCTCAAGGGGAGACTGCCAGCTTGGCATGCTCTGCACTGAGGCAGGTCTCACAGCGAGGGTGCGGGTTGCTGGGCAGAATGAAGCCCGTCTTGCAGACTGGGTAGACGTTAATAGTGGCGCGGCACTGGGGTCCGGCACTCAAGGAACTTCGCTCTTTAGACAAAGCTCTAGGAATTGCTCTTTTGAACTGCTGAAGAAAAAGAGAGAGCTGAATTCAGGTCACATAGGCTTTTATGCAGCCACAGCAGACATTAGTGGAGACAGCCCAGTGCAGGGCACAGATAGTGATGGTCCTCTGACACCCAAGGCTCCGACACATGCGCGGCAGCTCATGAAGCAGTTGTATTGAACCACTGTGCCGAGGTGTGGTTTGGTCACGTGACTAGTGACGTTTGAAGCACTTGAATAATGTTCGAAGCAGTGGAGCGCTTCGGATGTCATACGAACTACCTGATTGGTTCAACTTGGTTGTCTCGGCTCTTTGGGAGAGCTGAGCTGAGCCTTCAAAGCAAACAGAGACTGAGTCGACAGAGATTTGGTTTGACAGTGTTGCATTCAGTACTAAACTATGATACTTGGAGCAAATGAAAACAGTTGATGTAAGTGCTGTAACATGCACATCAGTAGGGGTTAATGAATGATCATGGACTGTAGTAGCTAACGTTACTCAAATAGATGAAATGAGGAAGATGTAATATGATTGGAACTGGTGGTGCATTCTGAAAACCCCAGTCTTGTAACAATATAGCGTGGGTACAATTCCCGACAGAGCTACTGTATGTGTTATTTAGCTCATCAATTAAACATTTAAAATGAGATCACATTTGCCATCTACCCCACTAAACACCCACTATTTAACATCTTTTAAGTTATGGGCTATTTAGACTTGTTTTAGGATAGAACATGATTCATAGCACAAAATGTCAGGCTAAGTATATAGCTATAACCTACGGCAATCAGACGTGCCAAATATGACACATGGTCTTCAACATGAGTTCATGTTTATTTTTATATCTTATTGTGTCAGCTTGAAACCATACAATCATCTAGTGTAGTCGAACAGGAATGTGCATGGCGAATCAAATGCCAAACAATAAATGAACCAATAAGTGACGCATCTCAATTGCACTTCATTTTAATGACCAATGGATGTCCTACTCGAGCACTGTGCCATTGAAGCCTCAAGTAATAAACTATTTTTTTGAATACTATGTTGAAGCTTCAACAAAGCCTCGATCAGCCATCACTAGGCACAGGCCGCGAAAGAAATCTCTTCAGGACTGCACATGCGCGTGATGGATAAACCAATAGCGACAGCTCTTAGAGGGTGAAGCCTATATGAACTAGAACAACAACATACAAGGAAAAACGTAGAAAAAATAATCTGGATTTGGTTTTAGGTAGAAGACATTTCAGCTCTCATCCAAGAGGCTTCATCAGTTCTGTCCAGCTGGTGGTGAGCAGGAGGTATTTATCCCCCTGGGTGGTGTTTCAGTCCGTCGACGGCCAACAATGTTCCCTAACAACTGATATTTTGCGGTTCCAGTCCTTTGGTGGCCAACAATGTCCTCTAACAACTGAGTCGTTATAGTCCAGTATCGGTGAGCGTCGTTACCCGTCTTTGAACCCTCACATGTGGACCGACGCCTCTTGTCCCGGTGTGAATTAGGGTGGGAATATTTGGGCAGAGATTTCAAAACAAAGTTGTAGATGGATAACAAATTGTATCTTAGTCCACCACCACTATTTAGAGAGGGGTGTTCTATTTGGACAAAAATAGCTTCCTTGACTCCTCTCTCAACCCAGTAATGTTCTCTGGAGAGGATCTGGACTTCACTGTCCTCGAAAGATTGTCCTTTGTCCTTCAGGTGGAGGTGGACTGCTGACTCTAGTCCATTGGAGTTGGCCCTCCTGTGTTGGGCCATGCGTTTGTGCAGCGGCTGCTTAGTTTCACCAATGTACAAGTCATTACACTCCTGACTACACTTAATTGCATACACCACATCACTCTGTTTGTATCTGTGTTTTGTCCTTCAGGTGGACCAGTCTCTGCTGCAGGTGTTCCCTGGTTTAAAGTTAACTGGGATATTGTGGTTGTGAAATATCCTTTTTAACTTCTCTGATAAACCAGCCACATAAGGGATGACAGTGTTATCCCCTCTTGTTTCTGGTTTCTCCCTGTTGGTGTTGGGCCTCTTCCTTGCTTTGGTGAAGGCCCACTTAGGGTTTCCACAAGCCTTATGGGAGTTCTGGATGTGTAGTTTCTCCTTCTTGGTCCCTTCTGCAGTTGTGGGCACTTCCTTGGCCCTCGGCCTGAGTTCTGATGACTGCTTCAACCAATTCGAACATTACTCAAGTGTTTCAAACGTCACTAGTCACGTGACCAAACCACGCTTCGACACAGTGGTTCGATACAACTGCTTCATGAGCTACCGCACATGTGTCGGAGCCTCAGGTGTCAGAGGACCATCACTACTTGTAACCACACCTGACAGTGATGTCATGGGGTCTTGTAGTGTACGTCTACATCACTGGAACATGGGGAAGTTAAAACACCAAATGTCAGTGAAACCAACATTTTTTTAGTGCTGTTAAGTGACTTTATATGCACCCAGCACCCACACTGATTACATGTATCAGTGCTGACATGATAGGCTTCCAGTTAAGTAAGCAAAACAAAAACAGATTAGGGCTGTTTTTATGAAAAAGCAGTCACATTCATGCAGTATGTAAGCTGTGCAGCTCCACTATGGCAGGATGAGGGTGTGTCATATTAATACCTCTAAATAATTCTATGGCATCGCTCAAACTCCATCTGTATTTGATCTGTAGTAAGTAGACTGATTCTTTTTTGACTTTTCAGAGGGCAGAGTTATATGACAAACCTGGGGTCCAGCTCTATGGACTGAGAGAGGAACTTCTCCACTCCTTCATCAGGAAATGCTTGTGACAGCTTAAGAAGGAAGAGTCCCACAATTAAGACATGAACACATGCTAAACTAAGCACATTGTGTTGTTACACTCCTATGCAAGGTCCACACCCCGATAAAATCTGACTGTATAAACAGGGTTGACAGTTTATGGAAATAAGAACCAACGCCTGTCTAATATAAATATATCAGAAACAGAGGTGGAAGTGATTCACTCAGAATTTCATAAATCCTCCACACTTGTAAAAGATTTAGACTCAACAGTACTGAATATTTTTTATTGAGATTATTTCTGCCAGGGAAAGTGTGTTTCAATAATCCTGACCTGCGACAGCAGCTCCGTCACCTCCTGCTGAGTCCGGACAACACATGACACAAACCCATCTGACCAGCTCACCTGGAGGAGCAGAGTTAGAGCAGAGAAGAGGAAAGATGACAAGACACAAATGTAGGAGGTCATGGAGTAGAGGACAAAGGAACATGGGTGGAGAGAATGAGTAAAAACATGACAAGATGAACAGAACCATTTGCTACAGTAAGCAGGAGTCAACGTGTGTGTGTGTGTTTTCACTGCACTGACCTCGAACACATATTCATTGGTGTCCTCAGACTTGCGTGTCACTGGTCTGAGCACCACCCTCTCAATCACCACTGAAAGAGTAGATTGTTTCACAGATGATTAGCCACGCTTCACAACTTTGCATCCTCTCATAAAGCTTAGTAAGCTGCATGGCAATATTTGAGCACTGGAGACAGCTGATTAGATTAAATGGCATGGGTGGATTTAGACTTGGCCTACTATCAAAAGTGATAAATCAGGTGATGACACAACCAGAAACTACAGGTGAAGTAGTTTAATATAGCAAAAAAGGCAAAGGTTATGAGAACATCCAACTGAATTTTGGGCACAGGTGCAAGACAATAACAGCAGCTTGGAAGAAAACAGAACAATTGTCCACACACTGAACAAAAATACTAAAAGAATTAAATTATTATATAATGTTGTGTTTCCACCAACATGGTCAGGCAAATACAGTAACCATGTAGGAACAAATAGGCTGTATGAATGCACTGGAATCTTTTTGGATTTCTTGCTATGTGTGCTATGTTTCCCCTTACTACTGGTGACATCTGGATTGATCACGTCTCTCTGTATTCCACTCTAGTGGAGTACTTTATACTGTTTGTTGATGATTTTTTTTGTTTTCCCTATATAAGCTGTCCCCCCCCCCCTACTGGTTTAACTTAGATTGTGGTTCTTTGTACCCTACGTTGTATGTGTAATTTGTATTGTGTGAGATTGACTATATGCTGATAATTTATGATTATTGTATAGAAAGTGAAGAGTGCATTTGTATTGTTATAAAGATGAATTATGACAGTTTTTAGATCAGTTTGTTATTGGTGTTACTTTATAATGTGTGACTGCTTAAATATGGGTGGAGCTGTGAGTCCCTATATACTGTATACAGCCTACATGTGCCTACGTGATTATTTGCCTGACAAAGACAACAATGTTGGTCGAAAAGTAGCATTATCTAATAAGTTTATTCTTACAGTATTTTTGTTGTGTGCGGACAATTTTTCCTTTTTTCTTTAAAGGTAGTTTATTATATCAGCAAATGTAATGTCAATGTTCATCCTTTATTTAGTTACTGTCTTTATTTGAATCCCATTCTGTTATTACAACCTGCAGTTACTTTCGAAAGGATTTATCAATTGTCATTTTTATTCTGGCATTTCTTTTTACACACAAAAAGAAAACTTCCATTGTCTGAACTTCTTAAACATGAGGATTAGCCATTTCATATCTGTCAGAATCTGGCACTGGGAGACCCAATGTACAGGAGAGGAGCACAAAGAGTTTGATATTAAACAAAAGAAAGGGCAAAAGGAGCCTGAGGGCTGGAGAGCGGAAAGCTGGAGTGCAGATTGTGGCTGGGGATATGAGGTAGATGCAGAGTAGGTACTGGCTGGAGAGGTGAGGATGAGGTAGAGCAGGTAACAGTGGGAGAGATGACTCACAGGTGGTTGCGGGATCAGAGGTGAGTACACCACGCAGGTGGGTTGAGAAAGTGGCTACTCACAGGAGGATGAAAGTACACAGTCACAGAACCATTCAGATGTGCAGGATCCAGGATCCATTATGGAACGTGCACACACATAAAATGATCTAACGAAAAGCACAGTTTGTTGACAAGACCACTTCAGGAATAGGAATGTGACAACGAACAAGAAGAAGAAGAAGAAGAAGAAGAAGACGAAGACAAAGAAGAAGACGAAGAAGTA